AGTTTCCTGAACTCTAATGTGAAGATAATCACAGCATCTATTTGAGACAGCTGTGGAGAGGTTTCTGTCTGAAAGTGGATGCAGGATTCCCTGTACAGGTTACCTACATTAGTAAACAAATTCTTTAGTTTTATTACCTTATACAAAATTCCACATGTCAATTATTACATCATACTGGCTTACTTATATGTACGCCTCACCATAAGACAGCAAGGCTCCGGAGGGGAAATACCACACCTTATTCTATTTAGCCTCGTGGTCAACATCTGACATTTTGCAGTGATCAACAGTCTACACACTCTTCCTGTCTCTGCTTCTTGAAGGGCAGAAGAGCACAGATCTGCTAAGAGACTAAGAGTAAATCTCATGGCAGCTAAAATCAGCAGAGTACTCACGGCTACCACTTACCACGCCCCTATAAGTACCAGGTACTCTGCACATGTTATCCCATGGACTCCTCATAAGAAAAGACTTTATCAAACAAGGAAACTAAGGTTCAGTGAAGCTGAGTAAAATGCTTTAAAAAATGCATAGTCAAGTAGGAAGAAGATAATGAAAACCAGGTCGGTCTGACTTTAAGGCTCTGGCTCTTTCCTGCACACCCTAGGGCCCACTGACAGACGGTGAGTCGCGATCCTTCTTGCAGCCTGGACTCCAGCAGGCTCCCGTATCTTGAAGACCTTTCACGAGGGTGTGTGGCACATAGCCGCCACGCAGGAAGGGACACATGACATGAACACATGCCGCCCTGCTCTGGCCCTCGGATACACTCCCAGCCCTGTCTGGGTCTCATTCCCCTACCACAGAGGGCTTCCTGGTCAACCAAGACCACATTCTGTTGTGACTAACATCATGTACACAAAAGGCCCTTAGTGATAAGGCTCCTTTGTCTACAGTTCTGGCTTCATGTGAAAGTTCCTGCCATTGAGTGAATGTAGTAAATAAAGATCTAGTGACCTGAGAAACCCCAACAACTGGTCCAGTTTGGGCTGAACCTGGGAACTAGTGTTTTGTAAGAGTACCCCTGGCTTCACTTAGAAGCGTGAAAATGGATTAGTGTCCATATCCCATCACACACGCATACACACTTTAAGGAAGTTAGATCTATTTTGCTTTCTACTAGAAATCTGTGGGGGGGTACTCCTATCTCTGAGACAATCCCTATTTCCTAAAAAACACTCTTTTCCTAAAAATCAGCCTTTATCCCTGATGCATACCCGTCCAGGAAATGACCATCTCCCTGCACCCACCTACCCTCTGCCCCCATCATGGTTCCAAAGGCTATTTTTCCTTCAGGACAGAAATTAATGTGAATGAGGAAAAAAAAATTCTCAGAAGCCCTTAAGTTTCGGATGTCACATTGAGGCGTTTTCCCTTTTGCTGTAATGTGCACATTTTTTAGACTACAGTAGAGTAGCTCTTTTGCCTCTAAACATTATATCCATTCTGAACCTTGTACAAGAAAAAAGAAAAATCAGTGTTTTATTTAAGCAGTTGAAAGTTCATCTGATACTGAAGGATTATAATTTTGATCTTTGAAACAGAAGAAATCAATGTCTTTTTTTTTTTTGCCTGCTCTCTGAAACGATCCTTCATTCTGTAACTGACCACATGCTTTGGGGAGTGAGAAGCAGCCACAGAAAAGGGTCCCTAGTACCCACCTCATACTTGACCATTTTCTCTCCTGCTCTGCCTGCTTCCCAGGGGAATGGCAAAGAGGAAATGAGGTGCTCAGTGTGTCGTGGAAGGACTTGCCATGTAGGAAATGCTGTCGTAACCAGCAGGGTGCGCTGTCCATCAAATGGGGCTCAGAGCAAGAAGCACCAGCAAAATCCCCACCACTGCAGAAAAATCTCCCCAGGGCTCAGATCTCACACTTGCTCTAGGCCAGGATATCACAGACCAACATCCAAACCCCCCAGAGAGTCTCTTAATTGGGTGGAAACATGTTAGAGGAAGGATTAGGTGCAGGGTGTAAGGGTTTGTTCTGAGCCGAGGCTGTGTGATTAATTAGCACTCTGAGGACTTGCTCTCTGCAGGAGAACCCACTGGCTGAGAAGGGCAAAAAAGACTTCATTCAGAAAGGCCATGGTGAACACATACTGCTCCTGAGTTTCTGAGGAGAGGGGTCCACAGGGACCACCGCGGGAAGCATCCTTCTGACCACAGCCCTCTCTGTTTCCCGTACTGCTCAAGGTGAGCTAATATCCACCGTCCACCATGAGGAGTTTGGAGGGCGGTGTCAGTGGGCCAGGGATGGGAAGAAAGGACCAGGGAAGACATTCAGAGGATTTTTCTGGGCAGAAGTTTGGATGGGAGACCCTCCAAAGCATTCCATTTGGTTGGGGGAGTGGACAGAGAAGAAGCCAGAATATAATTTTTCTTTTTTTCTTTCAGAATATAATTTTTATCAACACAAAATCCTGAATACTGAACAAAAGGCAGGGCTCTCTCTAGTTAGCAGGCAGCCTTGGGGAAAACATATTAAAGAGTGTGTGCAATTTGGCACTTACTCATCTCTCCCAGCAATGCCCCCAGCAGCAGAGATAAAGAGAGGGGGTGAGGAGTTGCCAATCACAGGGCTGACAGACGAGAACTGAAGGCATCGTGGTCAGAAATGGACGGGACATTTCCGGAGATGTCGGCGCATGAGCACAGGGGAGGAGGCTGCCCAGGGGAACTCTACAGACCCCTCCAATTTGGACAGTATGGTTGTCAAAATCCAAGCACTGAAAAGAGAGGCCACGCTCAGAGTCTAAGAGAACCACCCTCAGATCGTAACTGATAAATAAAGCATCTTGACAAGGATGATTAATCTTTGCCCCTTGGAGGCCCTTTGCCTCCGTATACACGCCACCTAAACTGATGCGCTGAACTGCTCATTTTGGTTAGTGATGAGCACAAAGCTGAGAACTAGGGCAGGACTCATAAAACTTCATAATCTAAAGAGCAGGATTACAGAGGTCCCACGCTCTCGCCCAGGATGGAATCTTTTTCATGACACACCATCTAGCTTTTGCCTAAACACTTGTTTGGAGCGGACAGTTCATGGCTTTGCAAGGCCTACTGCAATGGAGTACAGCTCAGTTACAGAACAGTTCTTCCCCATCCTGAGCGCAAATCCTTCCCTCTGTAACGTCTACCCTTCTAGTTCTATCTCTTAGGCTTGCAGATGTTTAAAGAGTACTGTTACAGTCACCCAAACCTTCTCTTTTCCAGGCTAAGCCCCTCTTTCCTTCAACCAGTCCTCCTGATACAGTTCTCATCTTGATCATTCTTTTCTGGACTGTAATTCCTCAATACCCATTTCCGAAGAACTGAGCACAGTACATCAGATATGGTCAAGCTAGCACAGGCTACAGTGAAACTTAAAAAAAAAATTAATCCATGCTCCATGGTTTCATTAATGAATTCAGGCTTTTAAAGATCATTTGGTACTTGCTTCATATTACTGGCTCATATTGGGCTGGTTAAAAAAAAATTTGTTTTTAAGTTTTTTTACATGAAATCCTTTCTAGTTAGGCTCCCTGTGGCAACCCTGCATTTAAGAAACAATTCTAATATAAATATACAAATTATAATAGCCCATTTCCTTAAAAAATAAATTCCTACCCACCGTTCTGTTTGAAACAATAAGAAATTTTGATTCTACCATCCTTGGTGTTCTCTCTACTCCTTCTCAGCTGAGCAGCCATTGTTCATGTTTGATAAATGAGATAAAAGTACCTGCTTTTTGATCCGGTTTGTTGATAAAAGCAATAAACAGAGCTAGATCAGAAGCAGAGCCCTGGGGTACACCAGCTGAGACCTCCTTTCAGTCAACATCAATACAGTCCACCTTCTACGGGCACAAGTTTAACTTGCTCCAACAGACCCCTCTCTGTCTGCCACTCAGAGGCACCACATGAAGCAGATGCCGCCTGGTCCTTAAATCCGGAGCGTTTAACCAGTCCCACCTCAAAGCCTCACACAAGCGTCTAGGAGCCTCCTCATTCTCAGCACACCCTGCACATCCAACCTCACTGTCCACTAACCCCTGACACCTACAATCCTCTCCAGTCCTGGCATTCTGCTGCCGTCCTGTAGGCAGACAGGTTGGGGGCCCCTGGAGAAAGAGAACCAGGAATGGCTTTCTTGACATAAGAGAAGTCATTTTGTGATCCAAGCTTGGCCACAATGCTTGCCCTTGACCTGGTCTCAGTAACCAGTGATCTCAAGGGAAGTGAGGGAATGCAAGGACAAAGGAAACGCAGTCAGAAAACAATGGGTCAGCAATAAAACAGGGTCCTAGTTCCTCCTGAAGGGATGCACATAACAAAGTGATGCAGTCTTTGAGCTCTGCAGGATCTAAGCCCCCACCCCCATCCCCACCCCATGCCCAGGGGAGGACAGAAAGATGCTGCTGACCCTCCTGACTTCAACTAAAGCTTGGACTCGGTCAACCTTGCCCCAATTCGATGCTGAATTCTCCTCTGCTTCATCCCCTTCATGAATATGCATTTACCCTTAGCTCAAACTTTCTGAAATTTAGCTGTTGGGGAGAGACACTGCTTGCAGAAAAATCCCAGGTATTCTTCTCAATTGCTGCAAGAAATAATAAATCCTCTCTTTTCCTGATCTTTGGCTTGGCTCTGTCTTTCGGTTTGACAACCAGCAAGAAGTGAACCCAGTTTTTGGGTAACAATCTGATGCCACATAGGCCAACCCAGGCCATGCAGCTTTCCTCAGGCACAAAATACCCTCTCCCCGCTGGCTGCACACCACACCCAGCCTTTAAGGTGAGCCTCAAGTCCCAAGTCCACTCTGACATCTTCCCAACAGACTTGGTTTACACATACTGACTTCTACCCTGCTGACCACCAAAAGCCCCCTGGCCTTGCTCCGGCTCAGTGCTAGGTGAGCACAGAGGTCCCCAGTTTCTCACAGTTCTCGCAGAAGTGCAGTCCTCCCCCAGCCCCTGGAATCTCTGCTTCCATCCCCTCCCTCCTCGTGGACCTTACCTTTCTTCCCGCACCCGAGGACTCAGGAACCTGCTTGAGTCATCATCGTGGCTGCTCTGCTGGCTGCTCTGCTGGCTGCTGAGGAAAGACACAGGATATGAACCGTTAACATTCAGCTTCTTTCTCAACCCCGGGGGAGATAGCCCAGACTTCAGCTCGACAGAGGAATGGGGTTACAACATCTCAAAGGTAGAAGGTCCCCCGCGTAAGTCTACACAGAGGCTCACACAGCCGGTACACCGAGGGCCAGTGGAACTGAGACACCTGTTGGGTGAAGACCCCACCCACCATACCTAAGGCAGAAGAGGGAGATCCTGACCTATTCCCTGGCTCCTCCCTGGCGGCACAGTCTCAGTGAGCAGATGCCGCCAGCATTCTCGGTACCTGGGCCTCCAAATCCCTAGGACAGGATAACAATCCCAATCTTCAGCCTCACCTGAGACACTCAAGGAGCCGGTGCAGACTTGGGGCAGGAGGGGGAGGGGACGGGGAGGAGGATTCCAGCCAGGAGAGAGACTTGAGACTGGAGGGGGCCAAAGGCCACCTGGCCTGCTTCTCTGCTCTGGAAAGGCTGAGGAGGGAGAGGGATAGAAGAGGGATTAGCAGCTGGAGTCCCTCCAGCCCTTAAAGCCCTGTAGGCATGAAGATCAGAGTTCAGTTCACAGAGTTTTTCATTCTTCAGATGCTCGTTTCAAAGTACGGAATTCCAGCCTTCCACCTTACGCAAGAGAAAGAAATGTTGTTCGGACATGACACTAACTAACAAATAGTTGTTATTAATTGCTAATTATTAAATACTCCAGGCACGTAATCCAAAGTCCTAAAGAAACTATAGCCCCACGACCAAATCTGGAGATCCCATGAGCTAAGAACGGTGTTTGCTTTTTTAAATGGGTGAGAACAAAAATTTTAAAAAATAATATTTCACGGCCCATGAAAATTCTATGAAATTCAAAATTATAGGTCATAAAGTTTTATTGGAACAGCCACACCCATTCATTTACAAGCTAACTATGGCTGCTTTTTTGCTACAATGGCAGGGCTGTGTAGTTCAGGCAGAGCTGAGTAAGTGGAATAGTGAGACCATTAGACCCACAAAGCCTAAATATTTACTGTCTGGCCCCTTGTAGGAAAAGTTAGCAAACCTCTGCTTTGCATAGATTCTATTAATAGTAAATTCCTATCACCATAGGGGAGAAGGTATAGCTTAGTGGTAGTGTGTGCTTAGCACGCACGAGGTCCTGGGTTCAATCCCCAGTACCTCCATTAAGATAAATAAATAAATAAACATAATTGCCTCCCTAAAACAAACAAACAAAAGCAACAACAAATTCCTATTATCATACATGACACTGTAACCCAGGCCCAGAGTGGTTCCCTGGTGCTGGTACACTGCTCACAGCGATACCGTGCACTGATCTCACCAGCGTGTACTCCTTAGGCTAGATCCCCAGCAGACGGCAAACTCCAAACGGCTTGTAGGGTAAGTGCCTGCCCCGGTGCCTGTACACTCTCCGCCAAAGAAGCCCATGATTTTTAGTGGTCAGTTACAACCATGCTCTCCAGTTCTGTTCTTTCAGCAAGATATAAATGAACTTAGAAGCAATTTACATCCAATTTTTAAAACACACACACACACACACACACACACACACACACGCCAGAAACCAGAACAGCACCACACACAAAGCCTGGGGCAGAATCGGGTGTGCACACAAGCCCTTTCTCTTTCATTCACTCTACACAAAGCACTTCTTTTGCTACTCATGCAAGATCTCATAGGCTTGCCTTTTAAAAAACTCCTTATAACAAAATGATACTATTGTGTTGTTGAGCAGAGGATTTCTGACACCTGGCATATGTATCAAGCTCCCTCTTCTCTACAATCTGAGATGGGTATTAAGACTACAGTAGGCAACCCACAGATGACTGGAACTCAAATTCCAAAGCTGACTCAGCTCCGGAGGCCAGCATCGCGGGAGGAATACCAGTCTACACTGTGGGCAGGATGTGTGAGAAGCAGAGGGAGGGGTGTCTGGAGCCCAGTGTTTCATACCATCTAACACCCAAAGGGGATCAACCAGCCCGAATGACCATGATCAGCTTCACAGCCTCTTCACAGGAGAGATCACTCTTGACTGTTTAAGCTCTAAGGGGCTGGTTCTTCCTCCTCACCCTACCCGCCCTCTGGCAATCAAAACTTAAAGTTAAGCTGATAATGGGGCTCCCAAAACTAAAAGACGATGCGCCAGGGATTCAGAAAAATAATTCTGAGCTGATATTAGCAAGTTATCCCGCTAGATGGCACTGCTGACTTCCAAACCAGAACCTCAGCGAGGCCAACCCATCCAGCTTCTGAAAGCAAAACTAGACCCAACCTTGTGGCACCCCCTTCTGGCCTTCCCGCTGCTTAGAAAACACCTTCCAACTATTCACTGGTTTTAATAATTAAGAAATATTAACCGGCATGCATTCAACAAGTATTTGTATAATGCCTTCTCTGTGCACATATGCCAATCAAAGGCAGCACTGAGGCAACAGTTAAGGCTAGACTTTCGAAAATGCTGCCTGGGCTTGTAATCTAAGCTCCTCCACTTCCTATTTCTACGACCCTGAGCAAATTATTGGTCATCCTCCTTACCTGTAAAATAGAGACAGATGTTATGAGTTTTTCTGTGGTAAGGATGAAAGAATGTAAAGCTGTTGTAAGGATGAAAGAATGAGCATATGTGAAGTATGGAGAACAGTGTTTGGCACATATTAACTGCTGGATAAATGCTATCATCACACGCAAGACATCCTTTTGCGGGTCATGGAAAATAAAGACGTGAAGCAGACAAGGACGTGTTCTCAAGGTGTTTACAATCTGGAAAGTTAAGAGTCGATACGAGTATCTGCATTTAAAAGCAGAAAATGGTAACTCTTAGAAGTAAATATTAAATGCTACAGAAACACAGACCAGAGGAAGGTCACTTCCTTCTGGGGCCGGTAACAGAATACTGTTTTGAGAGCCAGGCTTTCTGCGCTGAGACGTGAAATCCAAATAGATTCAGAAGGAGCAGAACTGAGAAGAGAGGGCATTCTGCTTCAGCTCCGTTCACCAAACATTTACCACGTACCAGGCACGGTGCTAGGAGACCGGGACGTAAAGAGCTCAGTCGAGGAGGCACAAGAATTCACTGTGCACTGTGATGCGGCAACGCGGGAAGATGAACAGGTGCAGATGGCAGACACTTCTGCTCGGGGCTCAAGGAACACATCAGAGAGGTGAGCGTGGAACAGGAGAACTGCAGATAAAGCCAAGGCAGCAGCAGCTACAGGGCGCCTGGGGTCCTTCCTCCTCTAGACCCGCCACGAGGAGCCTGGTCCTCTCTCCTCCTAGTTTCAGAACTTTTCTTCCCACAGTCTTTAAAGTGAGATAGATGCCAACCACCCTTCCACTCAACCCCATGAAATGGTCATTGTTGAGCAGAATTTCCAGACGGTCAGACATGGCCTCGCTCTCTAGCAGAAACTCTCAGTCCCTCTCTCAGATGAGCCTTTTCAAATGATACAGGCCACCTGGATACCAGGCAGCTCACCCTGCTCCCTAAGTAAGTCTGCCAGTCTTCTGAGGTCATGAATAAAGCAACCACCAGAGCAGGGTGTTTATGAGGGAGCGTGGGATGCCGGAAGGTCAGGGGCCACAGGCTGAACCACTCCGTCTTAGTCAAGGTCTCGATGGGACAGGAAGTCAGTCTGGGCTCCACAGCTTAAGGAAGTTGAGAAGAACTTGGAGGAAGTCCAGCAGAGGGCACTACCAGATGAAAACGCCTGTGAGGAGGCCTGAAAAGAAACTCTACACAAGGATTTGGAATGACAGCCTGGGCAGCAGGTGACTGAGCGTCAGCTTAACACTGCGAGGAATGGAAGCTGTGTGAGCAACCATCTGCGGTTCCCCCAGAAGAGCTAGATCTGGTAACAAGATGCCGGCAACCCCTCCTGCTGTAAATTCAACCTTCAGATGAAAATCACTGTATAAATCAAATTCTGAAACTCTAGACTGTATTACTAAATAAGGTGAGGAAGCGCTTCTTTGAATTCCAGAACGCTCCTGAGGGAAACCAGCTGAAGCGAATCCAATCTGGAATCCTGGTTTTTGTTCTCCATCAGCAAGCGAGTGCTGGGAGCTTATCCTGTAAGGTCACACTAAACCCGGAAGGTTGGCTGGGGAAAATCGTTGTAACCTGAGCTGAAGGCACACTCCAGAAGGCGGAAATGCACGGGCTAGAGTGGGGAGCCCTGCAGTGCAGGCTGGGTGAATCGCCACGTTTCCCGGGGCCTCCCTCCCTCCCTCCACCAGGGGCACTTACAGGAAGTATAGGCTAAACCCACAAGCCACCAGCAAGGTGTCCTTTTGCCCTCTGGAAAGTACAGCTTCACTGCTCGGGAGACTGAACTCAGCACCTTTTCTGAGTTGGTGCTTCACAAGCAGAAACAGCTCTTTCTTCCCCGGACAACACTGCTGGGGTCTCCTAAACCCAGAGGGGATTTTGAGAGATTCAGGGGAGTCCAAGCACTTTTGGGGCTAGGCAAGCTGTAATTTAGTATTTCTGGAGCCTAATGAGACCTGTATATTTACCCACATTAATGCTGTGCCCTCATTTTTCCCATTTCTTTGTTTTTGGCTGTAATCAGAGCAATCTAGGGTATTAACACCAAATATCTCATGCTAATTAGAAACTTGGAAAGGCTGAGAGCAACTCTGATTGGTACTTATCTTTGACTAATAAAAATGGGGGAAGAAATTATTTTAAGCAGCGGACACAGCAGAACAGCAATGGAGACAGACAGACCGAGGTTTGCCCCGGCTTCGTGTCTTATTGGCCCTAAAACTGCTGCAGAGTCACTTACCCTCTCTCAGCCTATTTCCCTGGAAAACAGGAACAATAAAACACCACTTGTACAACTGTGCTGGCGATTAGGTTGTGAGTGATTCAATCACAATATCTGAGTTTAGGATTTGGAGTCAGGAAGACACAGGTTCTGCCACTGAGCACAGTGACCTTGGGCAAAGCATTTAACTTTACTAAGTGTCC